AGGCCAGGGCCCTGGGCCCTGTCTTACAAAGAGTTGTGATTGATCCAAATCTATCGCAAGTCCTCTAATCAATCGCAAGTTTGCAGTCTCCTATCTCTTAAATGTACATGTACATACATGTACATGTAAGCGCCATGAGCACCGAAAGGTGGACCTGTGCGCTATACAAGTAGCCACTATTATTATTTATTATTATTATACACCTGTAGTTGCGATTGATATCAATCACAAATAAGTTGGTTCCTACCTTGTATCTACACTGAGTCTGATACTTAGTAACATAGTCAACAACATTCAATGTAAAAAATTCAAAGTTTCTTATGTTGTACTCTGTTGTTGATTTGAACCCAGCAAGGGCAAACATACATGTACATGTACAGGGGGGGGGGGGGGTGTTTCACAAAGATCGCAAGTCGAACTTAACTTTTTTAAGTTGGACTTAAATATGTAGCCTTAAAAATAAAATTTATTCAAAAGCAAAAATTCAAGTGTTTTAGACTTTCCATAAAGTCCACACCAAGAACATGAAATCTCCTTGATAATAGACAATATGAATGATTTGAATCATCATTTTATGCCTTTTAACATAACTTTTACAATTATTTTCAATGATTCTAAATAATTCTAAATTCTAATGGCTTTCCATAAGTTAAGTCCAACTTGGAGATAAGTTCAACTTAGGATCTTTGTGAAACACCCCCTGTACGTGTAGCCCCTACACTATCATATTTTACAACTGCAGTAGTAATCTAGATTGATAAAGTATTTATATTTTATCTGGCTGTGTAAATCCACATGTATTCCTTATGGATATTAAAGTAACAAGTGTCTTGTCTAGCCTTGCTGTACCTGTAGCCTGCAGCCCCACATCAATACATGGACAGCATTGATTAGAGGAACCAGTACCTGTTTATTGTACAGTTATGACATCATTCAGAGATAGAGAGAGAGATAGAGAGAGAGAGAGAGAGAGAGAGAGAGAGAGAGAGAGAGAGAGAGAGAGAGATAGAGAGAGAGCGCAACTTAACGGACAAAATAAACCCAGGGGCGAGAATGACAATCTTTCATCATCATTATGTACACTTCTTATTTAAATTCTACATCTCCGATTTGCCTTTGGGGAAAAAACGCAATGTCTAAATAAACGATGAGTGGACTTAGGCAGCAACTAACACAAGTGGCAAACAGAACTACTTTTGTTGTTTGTTGATCAGCGGGTTGGGGATTTTGATTGATAAAACATTTGCATTGCAGCAGATTAAACTATTTATAGAGGGATCTCTCAATAAATGTCCAAGCAATGTCCATATATACAGTATTTACATTTTAAACAATTTTTTGATCATGGCTTTTAACTGATTTTCTTCATTCTTATGAACAGATATTAAAATCCTGGGCCCAATGCATAAAACTTACCATTGATAGTAACTTTGCCTTCAATGGTAACTACCATGGTAACATGACTCAACAGACCAATCAAAATCAAGCTTTCCATGGTACATGTAGTTACCATTGATGGCAAAGTTACCATCAATGGTTTGGTAAGTTTTGTGCAACGGGGCCAGGCCTTCCACAAAAATAATGAAAGAACACTTTCAGTTTTCGAAATTAAAATTTTATAGAGATCCTCCTGTGTAACAATCCTTTTCCCCCTGGGGGTGGGGGGAAGGTGCCTTGATTTTGTGTGTGATGGAAGGGGTGTCTTAAATATTTGATTAGCCAAGAGGATCACAGTAAGTTATGATAAAGGGAGCTCTCTAGAGAGTGAATAAATGTTGAGTTAGTAGAATGTTGTGGTAAATATATATATATTTAAATTGGGGGGGGGGGGGGTGGCTACATGTACAATGTAGGTGCCTAGATTTTTAGTGTCTGTCAGGGAGGGGTCAGGGTGTCTTGAACATTTGAATTGTCCCGTGGGACCACAGCAAATTATGATAAAAGGGAGCTCTAGACTGAGTGAATGAATGTGGAGTTAGTAGATAGTTGTGGTAAATATATTTAAAAAATTGGGGGGGGGGGGGGAGTGGTTAGGTGCCTTGATTTTGTGTGTCTGTCGGGGAGGGGTAAGGGTGTCTTGAACATTTGTTTTGTCCAGAGGACCACAGCAAATTATGATAAAAGGGAGCTCTAGAGTGAGAGTGAGTGAATGTGGAGTTAGTAGATAGTTGTGGTAAATATATATTTTGTTAAATTGGGGGGGGGGGGGGGGGGGGTGGTTAGGTGCCTTTATTTTTAGTGGTTGTCGGGGAGGGGTCAGGGTGTCTTGAACATTTGATTTGCCCAGAGGACCATAGCAAATTATGATAAAAGGGAGCTCTAGAGTGAGTGAATGAATGTGGAGTTAGTAGATAGTTGTGGTGCGGTTGGAATGCTCAGTATGCAGACTTGCATTGCTTGGGTTAGGGAACATCCCACTGATGCAGGCATGTGGTATGCAGCTAGTCGCGTATCAAGGACAATCTCCAACGTACACTCTACGTCATTCTAATATATCGCAAATGTGGGCCCAGATGTACATTGTTCATGTACAATATACATGTACATGTACATTACACCTTGTATGTTACCCCAATACATTAAAGAATGTACATGTAGGCCCTGCGTTGTACATTACACCATGTAAGCTGTACAGTGTACATGTACCGGTATGTTTAATACCTCAATATTACAAAAAATGTAGGCCTTATGTTGTACATGTACCCCAATTATATATTTCTTCCAGTCAGTATTACTGAGGCAATCTAGAAACATTTACACCATTGTTTTTTAATATTCATAACAAATATAGCTTATGATTGTAGTTTATAAACTTACTATAAAAACCAGAAACTTCAGCATGCATGAACTGTTAATGAATTTCGCTAATGGTTTAGATTTGTGAAATTGTTATACTTCAAAAGAATAAAAACAGAGCTGACAAAATACAGATTTATTTTGCAATTTACATTATGTACTGCCTGTGAAATTTCATGTTATTTACAGCTCATGAAACTGAAAATTTATGTTCTGAATGTTTCTGGGTTTACATTATCAACCCCCAAGGAGAGTACCTCCACAAGGACACTGTACATGTGTTCATCATGTAGCATGTTACCTGACATGTAAATGTAGGGCACAATGTAGGGTTCATCATAATACATAATAGCTCATTGAAACCCTGTTCATACTAAACCTTTGGCAACACCAGGGAAGCGTTTCACATAGCGATATTACATGTATGTTAGCCTACAACCCATCAGAAACGTGTGTATTAGATTTAACACGCATTTCAATGGGATGTCGGTGACTTCTCATTATGATGGTTTTGTGAATTGATGCCCAGTGTAACATTCAGGTAGATATTCTTAATGATTGAATAATAGATATATCTGTTCCAAGTTCGCTCTTTGGTTTTTAACCTGGTAGCTCTTTCTGAAGTTTTCATACAGAAATCTTCCCCATTTGTGTGTTACACTTGCTAAACTCTTGTCACATTTCATACCAAAAGTTTACCAGGGTCGTAGCCAAGATTTAACCCCAGTCAGAACCTTGGTATGAACACGGTAGGAAAAAAAAAGGTCGGGCCATTACCCGTACTCGAGTTAGGGCAAAACTGACGTAATCCCTTACTCATGTTACCACTGGGTAGGGGCATTACCAACATGGATTCATTACATCTGTTCAAGTTTAATACCCTGTTTACTTGCAGAGTGGTATTAATGTCACCCTTCCCCTGTTATGACATAATTAGGCCAGCAGGGGATTATGCCTAACATTGTCTGATTATCTAACATGAGACATACAAGTAACATACCATGTACACCTCAAATGCAAGATCAGGGAATAATTTTCCTCAAATTTTTTGATTAGCAATTTCAGGCGATGGATAAATATTTCAAATGAAATTCTGTACATTTCTATGGAAGAAAACTGCTACACAAAAGATATTTTGTATAGCAGTCATGCAAAAATGCATAGCAAATTGCGATGCGATACCAGGAAAATTATTCCCTGAAGATCAATTGCTAACTGTAAGCAAAATCATCATTCTTAGTTTTTCTAAAGAACTTATTTTCAGGAAGCAAGTTGATTTTGATGTTAATTTTCCAAACTGGCAGATTCAACTCGAAAAAATATTTTAATATATTGCAATAATTAAAAAGAATTTTTTCCAGTAAATTGTTCTTAATTTGTTCTAATGTTGTATTGGAGAATCCTCACAAATGTTACAGAAAACTTTCATTGGTTGGGGTAATCATAACACATCTAGTTTAAAGTGACTTGGTAACATTGCCTCAGATTCTGAAACAAAATCCTGGATTTAGCTCATGCTGCAATCATAATTATAAACCTTTAGGTCAGTTAGGAATCCCATGACTTTTACAAGCCGATCTATCGCCTGTCTGATTATCAAGATATTTATGATTGATAATTGAAATTTAATTTGTCATTTTCCTAACGATTTTTATAACAGTACAGTCTATTGGGGAAAATATGTATAGTAAAACCGGTCACTTAAAGATTTTTACTTTTTTAAGGCTTTTCAGGTTGATTTTGAAGCGTAAATTATTTAGGGACAGCAGTGATGCATAGGAAAATGGTTAATTATAATGTACAATTAATGTGCTTTGTTCGTATTTTGTATTTGCTGTTTTCTTTACTACGATTGTAAGGGATATCGCTATGTTTTATTGCAGGCCCTTGGCCTTCCAATGCAATTTGCCAAGCACAGTTTTGTTACATACAGTCAAACCTGCTTTAGTGACCACCTGTCTACAAAGGCCACATTTGTTGTTTCCCTTGAAAAAGTTTTCTCATTGAATCATGTACTAAAGGAACCTGTCTACAAAGGCCACTTTTTGTGTTTACCTTGGGCAGTCGCTGTAGACACGTTTGACTGTATATTATATTATTGTATTTTATGAAATTGATTAATAAAATGAAGTGTATATTATTGTATAATAATTATTTTCTTATAATAATAATTGTTTTAATCTCTTTCTCTGTCCTCTCTGTAGGCTGTCATCGATGAGAAGATTGACATGGTGGAGTACCTGTTGGAACATGGGGCAGATATAGAAGCACAGGACAATGAGGGCTGGACCGCACTCCATGCCGCGGCTTCCTGTGGATTTGAAGATATTGCAACGTAAGTTGTTTATTCGTATTTGGGTAAAAAGGTTTTCTAACCCCCCTGTTTGGAGTACCGAAATTCATTGTGCCGTAAATCTCTGTGTACAAGACGCACCCCTATTTTTTTTAGAGACTGCCAAGAATTTTTTATTTTTTATTTTTCTTTTGCCAACCCTGTAGGCAGCAAGCCAGGTCCATGTTCGAAAACCCATGGCTTTTCAAAAATTGTATATAAAGTTATGTGATCAGGACACCGTAATTAACATTTTTTTGTCTATAAATAAACATTGTACAGTATAACAAAATGTCGGGTAGAATAAAATGAATGTTTGAGCATTGATAAAGCTTCATCGTCCTGGGCCTCATTTCGCAAAACTTGTCATCAATGACAAATGACAGTTTTTGTTATAATCCAGTGAAATCCTTGCTTCTGATTGGTTATCAGCAGATTTGTGACTGATTTTTGTCATTTGTCATTGAAAATAGACTTTGTGAAACGGGGCCCAGTTCTCATCTGAATGTTGTATTAAACAAAAATTGTATAACTGGGTGATGCTTGTCGCGTTGATGATTGGTCAAGCTTTCATGCCAACTGACCTCTTTAAAACCATGTTGTAGATTCTGTACGCCCTTTTCACACCGTACAATGATTCTTTAAACTGTATGTGTACATTGTTTCTTTGTATGAGTTTTGTATACACATTGTGTAGTCTGAACAGGACTGTAGGTCACAAGGTACAGGGTTTTAATCCCAGCCAAACTCTAGAGTCCTTTGGCAAGACATTAATCTACCTTTGCCACTCTCTACCCAGGTGTAAATGGGTACCTGGTAGCCTGTGCTCAAGTGCTACAGTAGTTACTTTGGCAGATTGGCTACAAGTGAGGTAATAATGGCTAGGTGCCATGAACTTCCCAGCATGACGGATATAAGCACCATGTCGGAAGTTATGATTATATAATGTGGTAGACCACTAAACCACAATGATTTACCACAATTTTTTTAAAAATATGAATGGCAAGTGGGGATGGAAAAAAAGTAGCTGCAGGCTACAGAGGTCCAACACATAATGTACAAGTACTTACAAACAAATGTAGTTATCTGCATGTTATAAGATACAAAAATGTAAAGCGCATTATACTTTTTCTTATCCCAGTGGTTTCCCAGCTCTCACAGCATTTGTGAATGAAGCTTTAGGGAAACTGTGTATTGATGGTTGAAAGGAAAGTCCACCCTGATGTTAAGTTGGTTTTGATAAAAGCAGAAAAATAAGAGAAACGGCTCAGTTTGAGCAAATTCAATTAGAAATAAGAAAGTTGTGAGTTTTTGAAGTTGCGATAAATTCTCCCTACCACATGTAGCTGAAAACAAGCCAACGTGTAGTCGTGTATGTAAGTGGCGCTCTATTTCTATTTTGTAGTCACACGAGCGTCCGGTCCAAACGGGCCACATGCTATTGGACTCGCACTCCAATGACAATAGGACTAAGAATGGGAAAATGTAGTTTTGCCTAAATCTCTAATGATGTAAATTTATTAAAAATGAAGACCTTCAGTAACTTCATATGTGTGACCCTGCTGTATATCACAGGAAATTCTTTAAATTACTGATGATAGCGGACAATCATGGCTTTGGAAAGGAAGCCACTGGTGTTACATTGTGCCAAGTTTTTATGATAGAATTTTTCCAAATGCTAGCGTTTGCCAATGGTGATATTACTTTTAGTTAATTAATAAGATAACTGGTTGTGTATTTTTCAATCAATGAAGATAATGAAGTATCGTAGTATAGCAGAATACCTGTTTTAGAATCACTGGAAGTTATACTCTTTTCACACTGGTTTTGCTTAACCCCGTACTTTGCTTAGCCCCGTACTATCCTTAACCCCGGACTATTTTTTTGGCTTTTCACACTCGCTGTTTTTAGTCCCGTACTAGCGCCTATTCTGGAATAAGAAAACTCCAGCTGTTCTCACTGCATTTCGTTAACCCCGGATATCGTGAATGTTATTATTGGACATACTTCGCATCTGGCCAGCTGCGATACGCTCCATTGCGTAGTACTGGACTATTTTTCGTTTCTGTTCTCATTCATTTGCTTAGCACCGCAATTGCGGGGTTAGCAGGAGTTAGCACCACAATTGCGGAGTTAGCCCTGCTATTTTGCAGGGTTAGTTAACCCCGTACTATAGGTGGGGTTAGCCAACTTTAGCCCACTTTGGTAAAAACCAGTCTGAACAGAAAGTGGAATAGGCTTAACCCTGTACTATAGGTGGGGCTAAGACCCCCCCTTAACCCCACCTATAGTACGGGGTTAAGCAAAATATTGCCAGTGTGAAAACAGTATTAGTGTGTCTACAAAATCCCTGAGGTATCAGAGGCACAATGCATAATGGGAAAGTGTATTGCTTTATGCAGTAGCAAGAATTGAACACAAGTGTCATGATTTATTATTTTTCAAAGAAAATGATTGCATACCAGGGCCCTAGTCTTATAAAGAGCTGTGATTAATCGCAACTTATTTGCGATTGATATTAATCACAAATACATAAGAGATAAGACTAGAGATTGCCATCTTGCGATTGACTCAAATCAATTGCAATTCTTGACAAGACAGGCCCAGATCTCTTTTTTGAGATGTCCAGAGCTTGTTTAAAGCTTTTAAGACTAATTGCTCTCCTTGTCAAATCCCCCCCCCCCCCACTGCTTAATAGTGTACATTAATGAAACTGTATTATTAGATCAATCAGAACAGAATTTGCAATAACTTTATTAGTTGATCATCAGAAATTTTCTGAGTATTGATAATCCCTTTCTTTTTCACAAGGTGACCCTATTCAGGTCATTCTACAAGATGGAAGAGTCCCATATAACTGTCCTATACTCTTCCAACAATAAAACCTGATTTAAACCCATCCTTAATCCCTCCATAATCCTCTTAAACTTAATCTCTCAGTAATCCCTTTCCAATTCTGATTGTGTGTAACTGTGACATTGGCAGGGTCTCTAACACAGCAGTTGCGTTTAAAGGGAGAAATCAATTCCTACCATTATTCAAATTTGAATGATAGGCGCCTTTAAACTTAAACCAACAATAATATACAGGGTAGTATCAGGTATCGACAGTGGGTCTAAATATAGATTTCTCCTGTGCCCGTCTCATAAAGAGTTGCGATTGATCCAAATCAATTACAAGTCCTCTATTAAATCAATCGCAAGTTTGCAGTATCCTATCTCTTGTGTACAAAAATTAAGGCTGTGCATAACTGTGTAATGAGGACACTCCCAGGCTTACAGGCGAATACTCAAATACTTGGACGCCATGTTTTTTTTAAATTTAAAAATATAAAAAAATATTTAAAAAATCAATCGTTGCAGCCTTAGCAAAAAGTATAAACCGTTTTTTTTAGCTGTTACTAGGACTTGTCATTGATATTTGTTATAATATCTCAGTCACACCAGCGTGACCAGCCAACATCAGACTGACAACAGACCAAATTAAAAATTACCCTGAAAGGCCCAAAATCGGTCAGTGAGGAGTCACTTTGGCTGTGTGACACTGGTAGAGGTATCAGGTAGCTTAGACATGTAGTTCTGTAGCTACAGGTATATGGACAAGTCATACTGTACTTTTTATCATGGCAAATTTCATTTGAACCACTACCCTTGCCAGCCCCCTCCGTCAGCACAGAAATAAAACAGTGATAGGCAACAACAGAGTGAGAGCTGACGAGCTGTAAATGTCAGAAGTTAGTCACAAGGATTATCTTTACAGGAGATTTATTTTTGGGACAATCCAAATTACATTGTATGCCTATCATGTCGCTATTGAAGCTATTTTATCTCGTATATTTTTGGATAGACTGCTGATAGTACATCTGTTGTCCTTATAAATAGTACAAGTACTGTACAGTACATGTAGGTCTACATTAGCTTGTGCATGTAAAAATGTAAATTGTTTGCTTGGCCCCACATGTACTTTTTTTTGTTAGTGCTGGTCCTTGCAAAAAGTCAGTGGTTGTTTGCGGGCAACAATAACGTTGGTCAAAGTAGCACTCGTGATATGACAGGTGTCAATTCAATAGCCAAATGAATTATGGATTTTACACTGGTTCTGCTGCCTTTGAATTGTTGTTTTCAAACACAAATGTAATGTACAGTTGTACTTATATAAAGTACACATAGGTAATGTACATATACCATAATTAATGGTTGTTTTTTTTGGTCGACTTTTTATTTGCCAACTTAAAAAACAGTAGAGGACCTAGGATAGAACCTTGTGGTACGCCGTGTAATAGAAGAAAAATTGGAGGAATTATTATTATAAACTACATATTGAAATCTATCAGAAAGATTACTTTCAATCCAAGATGACAGACAAATTTGAGTGTTGTTCTAGTTTCCAAGTGGTGAGTCAACACACCGATTACTAAGCTGGGGAACATTGCCAGGCATAGCGCCAGGTGGAGGGGAATATATCGTAATTCGGCGGCAAAAAGGTGCGGTTAATACACCGTTAATTACGGTACATGAGAGCATATTTTTTGTTTTGTACATGCTTGCTCAGTACTATCTGATGCATGTTGTTCAGTTATCTAAGCAAGTACATGTACATTATCCATCACAAAACGGCCAGCATTCTGTGATCCAAACGATCTCAACGTTTTCAACGTTTTGGCCAGACATGGCAAATGATAATGCGACCCAAAAGATACAAACTTTCATTTAATTTTTTCATCAAATCCTTTACTGCACCCAACTAATAGGGCTGAACAGATTTGGGACAACAGAGGTTAAAGGTTACGAGACTCTAGTCTGCCAAAACAGACTCTCATGTGGCCCTTAAGCGCAATTCCATGAAGTCTTGAGCAGAGCCTAACTCTGCCAGTCTCTGACTTTGTCGGTAGCGGCTGGAGTACAGAGCCTCCATGGGGTGCAGTAGGCTGTGCAATCGACATATTCTTGCAGATCAGACACTGTTGAGCACCACGACTGACTAGGGTTAGAGCATGCAAACTA